GCCAAGGTCTTGGACGCATCTGCCTCAGTGAGAACCAAGGAAGTAACTGTCAAAGCAGAAAATAAGGTAGATGATGATGAAGACATCCCAATTGCCCAGAGGATGAAGAAAACAGTCTCATCAAGTATTAAATCATCATCTACAAACCAAAAAGTGACAAAAGTTGTGTCTTCGGTCAAAAAGACAATTAAGAAGTCCAAGAAGCCAGAGAAAGATTCTAAATATTCCAAGTCATCAAAGCAGCTACCTTCGGGTGATGGACAGAAAAAATGGACCACCTTGGTTCACAATGGTGTCATTTTTCCTCCTCCATACAAGCCTCATGGAGTTAAGATACTTTACAACAATAAGCTGGTTGGCTTAACTCCCGAACAAGAGGAGGTTTTTCTCTTGCTCATTATCTCCCTCCCTCTATTCATTTCAGTTTTGTTCACTTCTTCTCTTCTTTCTTACATCTGCTTTCCATCTGTTCAGTCACAATACTAATACATCTGTGAATTCTCTAGAGTTTCTGAATGTAATTTTCTTCTGCGAAGTTATTTTTTTTTGTTAATTTATGTAACTCATGTTCTATTGAATAACATATGCAGGTTGCAACAATGTTTGCAGTGATGACAGATACAGATTACTTTCACAAACAGAAGTTCCGTGAGAACTTTTGGAATGATTGGCAAAAGTTACTTGGCAAAAATCATGTAATTCAGAAGTTGGATCTCTGTGATTTCGGTCCAATATATGAATGGCATCTGAAAGAAAAAGAGAAGAAGAAACAAATGAGTACAGAGGTTAGTGGATTTTACCCTAAATAATTTTGGTTCTGAAACAATTACAGTTAACCTCTGGAGTCTGGGCATATAGGTATAATATTTTCATGGTAGTTTTGCCATCAGCTATAGAAAGTTTGACTGCACTAGGCAATGAGCTTGAGTAAACAACATGAGCAGTAAGCTTCCTTTTGTGCATAGGCATATGAGCTGAGGGTTTCTTCTATTCTTGCTGTTTCAATATGAAGATATTGACACCCATATACATCTTATACTTCTCAAGCTTTGGATACTGTGGACACATTATTTTGACCAAAAGCATTTTGGGTCCTGCATACAGAATTGTGAATAGAATCATCTGACAAGACTATTAAAAGGAGAACACAAGTAGATATTGTTTCTTGATTTCACTTGATTTCAAAAGTCACATTTGGAATTTCTTAAAAATTTTAGTAAAATATAGTACAACAGACAAATGAATATATGATTAGCCTTTTTCTAATCCTTACTTCTGTTCCAAAATATAGGAGCATTTTCCTTTAAATACACCTTCTGTTGTCTCTTTCACTTATGACATTGCCCTCCAATTAGGAGTTAGTTGGCTATGTAAACCTTTGTACTAAAGTAATGCTGAAATTGTCGTGCCTCAGTGATTCGTTACAAAAGATAGTTTTTTATGTTCATTTGCTGGATCCTGACCTCTTTCAGTAAGATTTGCAATCTCTATAAGATTTAGTATTCCAATACGATACAAAAAATATATTCTTAAAAGTTTGGTGTGGAAATTATGACCTTCTCACATTGGCAAACACCCGTTTGTCTCCATTGACTGAGTGATACTTGGCACCTCAATGGTATTCTTTCATCAGAATTATTCTGTTTTGAGAATTTTCATCTTCTAGAAGCAGTAATATTACGCTATCTTCCTTAGTACGTTGAACCTTTCTTTGTGGAGGTTGATTTTACCTGGCAACTGCTTTGGCTTTGGAAGTCTCAGAATTTTTTGTTTGTAAGTTGTGATTCTTCTGAAGTAAATGTCATATAATCTTTGTGCTTGTCAATATGCAGGAGAAGAAAGCTCTGAAAGAAGAGAAATTGAAGCAAGAGGATAAGTATATGTGGGCTATTGTTGATGGTGTAAAAGAGAAGGTAAAACTGGCTCCATTTGTTATGCTCTAACTCTTGCCACCTTTTATAGCAATTAGGCTGATTTTGGCTATTTCTGTTGCAGGTTGGCAATTTCAGAGTTGAACCACCTGGGCTGTTTCGTGGCCGGGGAGAGCATCCAAAGGTTTCCAAATTATATTTCTCTTCTAAAATTTTAGAGATATGTGGTTGATACTCGCAGAATTTTCACTTGTTTTTTCCCTTCTTATGTTTAGTTTCTTAATTATTGTAACACTTTTAATTGCTTCCTGATACATTTCAGATGGGGAAACTGAAAAAGCGTATCCATCCAAGTGACATTACTATAAATATTGGAAAGGATGCTCCAATTCCTGAATGTCCAATTCCTGGTGAAAGGTGTTTTTTTGTCCCGGAAAGAGGAACAAACTATTTTGATTTAGTTCATTTTTTCAAGAGTTAATTAACTCTCATATATTTTTACTTGGCAGCTGGAAAGAAGTGAAGCATGATAACACTGTCACATGGTTAGCTTTTTGGAATGACCCTATCAACCCAAAAGAGTTCAAGTATGTATTCTTGGCAGCTAGCAGTTCCTTGAAGGGCCAAAGTGACAAAGAGAAATACCAGAAAGCTAGAATGTTGAAGGTAGTTGCTTTGGTTTCTTGTTAACATCATGTGGTTTTGTGAAAAAAGTAAGCTGCTCCTAATTAGTTACCTGTATCTGATTCAGGATTATATAAAGAACATTAGAGCAGCATACACGAAGAATTTTACAAGTAAAGATGTTACAAAGAGGCAAATAGCAGTGGCAACATATCTTATCGATAAACTAGCTCTTAGGGCGGGCAATGAGAAGGTACAGCATTTTGTTGGTTATATATGGTCATGCATGTATTTGTGCTTATGGTTTCTGGTTATATTATGGCATTTGATTTTTTCTAGTGGAAATTTATACATTTAATTAATCATTTGGCAACTACATGCCAATAATAGCAGAACGCCCTTAAGATGATATGTAGGATATGTGCAGCCCGTAATTTGAACTTAGATCCTCATAAGAAGGGGTGAAATTCACCACCAGTCAAGGAATGGTTCAGTATGACATTTGATTGGACTTAACTAGACAACCCGTTGTTGTTTATAGCTATTTTACTCATTAGAGCTATTTCCATTGTTATTGATTCAAGTTCCTCTGCTCATTCCCTTGAATATGAGACATGAGGGTTTGTGATTGTGTTGTAACAACTTGTACTTTGTTCTCTGGTATATGATGTACAATTTTACTGTATATTACCTGATTGTTTTATGCTAAATCAAGCTCATTAGCACCTTTGGCTTCATGTGCATGTTTTCCTTTGTTTTTATTGTAATGAACAACAAGCCGATGCCTTTTCCATTGGAATTCTGTGTTTTAGAATTCCTAACTTAAGATATTGTTGTTGGAGAAGCCAATGGTGGTGTTCACTTACTTTTTCCCACCAGAGGGCTGCTTTAAATGTACACAAGTTAGGTTGAAGGACCTTGGCAGGTGCCATATCTGCCTCATTGTATTACCCTTCCATCCAGATTGTTGGTCCCTATTTCTTCTTTTTAAAGCTGCCCAAATTTTTTTGCTTTTGCTGCTTATGTACCTTTTTGATGTGTTGTAAGGGTAATAACACATGGGAGTTGAAGCAGTAGTGACATTCATGCATTATAAAACAATGACATTTTTTAGGCATAAAAATAACATACTGGGTTTGAATAAATCCCCTTAAACTGTGATTCAACCTGTAAATGTGGTTATGGTAATTTGTTAAATTAATAGTTGCACTTGCACAATTGGAAAAGCTAAGATGGGATGAGAATTGAACTGCTCCATTTGGCAGATACAGAATTGATTCCTTCTCACTTTTTTCCCACATACCATGGAGGCTCTTTTGGCATACGTTGAATATGTGCATGCGTACCTTTTGTTATCTTAGAGTCCATATATATTATTCACTGTTAACGTTGCTACTGCATTTAGTTTCCCTACATCTTGTGCTGTGTGGAACTGTTTTTTTTTTTTAAAATAAAATTAAGGGTAGTATTAATATCAAAAGGTGCTAAAGGGAGCACCTCCCACGTACAGAATTTACATATCGATTAGCATATCTACAATATTACCTAAATCGTCAATTAGCAATTAGCAAGACTATCCTCATATGTTCAATTTCAGTAGGAATAGCAAATAGGCTTGCTTTTCTTCATTTTATGGTTGAATTTCTGCAGGATGATGATGAAGCTGACACTGTTGGTTGCTGTACATTAAAAGTTGGAAATGTGGAGTGTATCCCTCCAAATAAGTTGAAGGTATGATTAATTTGTTTTTCTTGGAAGCAGATTTGGATATTGCTTTTAGGTTACATGCTTTCAAGAAGCCAAGTTAACTGTTTCATTTTTTAGGAAAGAGGAGAGCATAATAAGTTGATTGAATTTTTGCTTGATACTGATTTAGTTGCTTTCGTCTTAGTTGAAAACTTTCTAGGTGTCTACATGTTCTAACCTATGTTTTTTTCTGCTGACCATTCAGTTTGACTTTCTTGGTAAAGATTCAATTCAATATGTAAACACCGTTGAGGTTGAGCTTCCTGTTTTCAAGGCAATTGGACAGTTCCAATCTGGTAAGTGAATGAAACCTTTGTTAAATTTCATAATTGTTTATTATTATGATCATGATGAATGACCTCATCTTCCTTTTCTATCCAGGAAAAAGTAAAAGTGATGATCTTTTTGACCAACTAGATACAAGTAAACTGAATGCACATCTGAAGGAACTTATGCCTGGCCTTACTGCTAAAGTCTTCCGTACATATAACGCATCAGTCACATTGGATGAGATGGTATGTTGCAATCTTGGACCAAATATCATGTTTGTGTTTTAATTGACCACATTCAGACGGATTTCTTTTATGATACAAGAGCTTCCAAGTAATGAATCCAGTTTTTTCAAAATTTAATTTGTGGTTACTGCATCAGCATCACTGTTCTTTCAATGGGAAAATTATCAAGATTAGAACAGGTAAACCATTATTAGGTGGATCAGTGCATGTTCTGACTTCATCTTTATCATTCAAGCATTAACAGTGAGAGTAGAGTATGCGTCAAGTAATTTGCATGAATAACATCTTTCAATCAAGTTTTTGTCAGGATTACTATTTTTTGTGGTTTGATGACAGTTACATAGAGAAACCAAAAATGGTGATGTTGCAGAAAAAATAGTTGTTTACCAGCAGGCGAACAAAGAGGTAAGGACAATTTTTTTGGATGGTTTTTTTTTTTTTTTTTTTTTTTTTTTTTTTATTGTAGTGTTTATGTTGTGTTATCTGTATCATTTACAATTCTAGCTGTTGTAAATGCAGGTTGCGATCATTTGTAATCATCAACGCACTGTTTCAAAAACTCATGGTGAACAAATGAGAAGATTGACTGGGAAAATTGAAGAGCTTAAGGTAATAACTTTTTGAACAGTTTAAAATAACTTGGGGTTTGTTACTCTTGGTTATTGCGAAGGGATTGACTGGCTGATTTGATATAGATAACTAACTTTCCAACTTTCCACACCTTACATTTTCTTATCCCGCATTCTTGTGAGCTAACAAATGCAGCAGGCGCACCCTCCAACTTTTTCTTAGCTGTTTCAGCCGCTAAATTATCGAAAATCATTGCCATAAATTAATGCTTGTTCTTTTGCTTATAGGATACGCTAAAAGAGCTGAAAACTGATTTGGACAGAGCTAAGAAAGGCAAGCCACCGCTGAAGGATGCCGAAGGAAAGCGAAAGAGGAACTTGTCCCCCGAAGCGTAATATAACTTATACTGGTTTTCTTTTTTATTTTAAAACCTCCGTATACATCTTATATAGATTTTCTTTTCATGACTTTATCTGCAGATTGGAAAGGAAGATTGGTCAAACAAATGCAAAGATTGAGAAAATGGAAAGAGATATGCAAACCAAAGAGGATCTCAAAACTGTGGCTTTGGGCACTTCCAAAATCAATTATCTTGACCCTAGGATTACTGTCGCCTGGTGCAAGCGGCACGAAGTTCCCATCGAGAAGGTTCTAATGTTTGGATTCTAATTGGTCAACATATTTCATGCACTTACAAAGATAGTGATGTTTTCATTGAGAAGTGCCTTTTGTTTTGTCTCCCAACTAAAAGCTTTTCTTGCATTTTTGCAGATATTCAACAAGTCTCTCCTCGCAAAGTTTGCTTGGGCAATGGATGTGGATCCCGAATTTAGATTCTAATCCCGGTTCGATCAAGTAGTCCCCCTTTTTTCTTTCCCCTTTCTTCTAAAGCAAATAGAAAAGTGAACTATTAAGAAAAAAAAAAAAAAAAAGAAAGGGCAATCCCCTCTCTTCCATTACAGTTACTCATTTTTTTTTTTTTGAAATTTTATAAAATACCTTCCCTAGAGGAAACTTCTTGTTGTATGTTAGTCTAATCTAATTATGGGGCAAGTTTGCCTTTATTTTTCCAACTTCCCCTCCTAGACTGGTTCAATTTTCAGATAAAGTTGCACAAGAGTTGTTAGCTTAAACATTCTGAATTTCATTACCTACTACTAACCTTTTGAGTTCTCAAATATACATTGAAAATTTCTATGAACCATGTCAATTTAATATAATTTTTTTCTTTCCTTTTCATCATTAGATTGTTTTACTTGCATGTAATGAAATCACTGGTCTTTTGACTCTCTCTTTCAATTCCATGCAACTGTGAATTTCTTTTTGATATAGTTTCACATTTTTCATATGGAACAAGATGCATGAAAAATTATATTATGATATTGGAGCCCATGTAAGTAATATTTGAATTAAGCTCGTTTATGTAATTTCTCCAAGGTGGGGGAGAAAGTAACCATGAGGGACTATATCTAATATGGAATAAAGCACTTACATTATCTGGTATATATATTTTAATTTTCTAATGATGGAGTTGGATTTTTATTATTTAATTCGAACCTTGATTTTTTATTCTTATGTCATAGACTTCAAATCAAACCAAGACTTGGGTACTTTTTGTTATTGCATAAAAGCTAAAATTAGAGACTGCTACGTATTTAACCATCGAAAATTAAATCGGCTAAAAAGAGTTCTTAGAGATTCTTCATATTTATTGGATGAACACAAAAGAGCTACATGCTCTTAAGTACTTTTTTTTTTTTTTATTATGACTGAAGCTAATAAGACTGCTAAAAACACCTAGTGACTGAATCCTCAGTTTTTCACTTGACGATGAGCTTTCCCATCAGCACCGTGTCCCGGATGGTGGCCACCATGTCCGCGTCCTCGACTGTGTCGAATCCAGGGTCCATGTCGGTGGTAGCTATAATGGCGGCGGCGACCATTCAGCTTTATTTGCTCTCCCATCTCTACCAAAATGGAAAACAAATGTTAGTGACCCTTAAACACAATTTAAAAACCATATGTAGTAAAATTATAATTTATTCTAAAATGAATAGAAGCGATCATATTATATACATATATTAGGCCTTCTTGATACTTGAAAATTGATTGAAATGTCAAGTGGAGAAATCACAAAGAACAAAATTAAGACTCACTGGTTTGGTCAGCCCGAACAAGTAGGTCTTGAGTTGAGAGAAAAACAGCAAATGCAAGGGCAAGACAAAGGAGGAAGAGAGACTTTGAAGAGGCAGTGGCCATTTTCTCCTTGGCAGTACAAGTTAATATTTATTTAAGCAAGAAATGATGTAGACAAATTCTAGGGTAATACCACCGCCTTCTTTTTATACACACACACACACACAACTTTTTTTTTTTTTTTTGAAGTCATGGACGTGAGGCCAAGTATATTAGCATATATTACAATATGTTATATATACTATAAAAAATAGATAAAATTTTATTTTTTTATTTAGAGGTACTGATATTTATTTACTTGAGAAATATAATTTAAATTGTATATAAAAAAGGTATACTATACTACTAGACTATATCGAATTATTATAAATTATATATATATATTTTTCTCACCATATATAAAATTATCTTGACATATGTTTGTATATATCTCTAGAATTAATTTATTTTTAATATATGTTCATTTTTTTTGAGACAATAATTATTTTGTATTAATTGAGTTGTGAATTTTGTCCAAACTTTTATCGCAGTTAATCGACCATAATTAATATTCTCAAATTCTGTTATGAATTTTCTTTTTTTCTCTCTTTCAACTTTATTTTTTGTTACGAGAGAATAACAAGTAAGAAAAAAATCGAAAAAAATCACGTTTAGATATTACACATTTTAAATCAGAAGACCTGAACGGTATCATCTCTA